CGGCACCTGCCCCGACTGCCCGCCCAGACCGGGCGCTCCCCCTCCGGGCTTTGCAGCCTCGACCGCCCATCGCGGTACGGGCGCGGAGGGGGACAGCGGTGGCCAAGGGTGAAGGAGGCAGGGCCCTGCTCAGTGGCACTGAGCTCCCAACCCGAGCTACCTCCCTTTGCTGTCGTTGGCAAATCTCTCAATCCTGACACGATTTAATAACGTGTGGGTAGGGATGCGTCCTTTGCCCCGTCTCTCGTTTGTCTGCTTGGGCTCTGCGGTAGGGCCTGGCCCTTCATGCACAGGTACGCGATACCTGGCTAAATTGCCAGGGTCCTCATCAAAGCTGAAGTGCCATCGGCACACCGTCATTAGCCGGGGTCCTGGTGCTAGCCCAGGCTCCTTCCCGGCAAGGTGCGCGCCCTGTGCTGCGCCTCCTCTTCCCAATACCTCTCAGGGGCTTCATTTGCAAAAGACACAGACAGCCTTTGACACCTTGAATTACTGCGGAGGAGGATTTAAAGCAATAACAACTGAGACAGCTCCATTACCAGCTCCTCCTTTGGGAGCGGCCGTTTCCCTCCATCTTACAACTTTTCGGCATTGGAAAACCACCGATTTGAGGCAGGAATTCAGAGCATTTGGACTGGAATAATTCCTCTGGTGGACCCTCTTCTCTTTATTTTCCTATCGCATTAGAGTGACTTCAGCTATACCAGCCAAATGTCCCTGCAGGAGTGAGGTGCTCACACAGGGAGTTACATACCAGCGTAACAAACCACCTTAGAACTACACCAGCATAATTAAAGAGCTGGTAAAGCTCCTTCATACCAACAGCTCCCAACACTTGTTAACCTGATTTTCACTCGCTGCCACACATACGGCCACAGGTGGGAGAGGTGACATGGCGCGAGGTGAAATCCTTCAACAGTTTAGTTACTTTCCCGTTGCATTCCAGTGCAGATAATGTTTAATTTTATGACTTCCTGCAAGTCTTTAGCATGAACTGAAAGTGCGTGCAGTGTGACTTCAGGGTATGCCAATTATGTAAATCAGCACTAAAATAACAATGGCAACGTAGTTTACACATCACTGACATTAAATGAGCACTTCAACTTCTAATTGCCATTCCAGTTCAATCTGTAGTGGGTCATGCCAGGAAAAAGTCATTTCTTGCCTCAACACTTACTCCCTGTGCCTGGAGCATAGGCTGTACTGTATGCCCAGCTTCGCGTTATCTCCAGGAGCTTTCTATATTAGGATGATGAGCCTTGTAAGGGAGAAACGTGTTTGTGGTTGTTCTGAAGGCCTGCATATACTGTGATCTGATATCAAGAGGGTCTTGTAGGTTTGCCCCTCTTGGATTTTAAATATAAATAGGCTCTCATAGTCTTCTGTTCTCTTGGTCATAAAAGACAACATTTCCCCTTCTAGTTTGTCATCTCTCAGTCTATTTAGATCAGGAGATGCTGGGGCAGTGACTCTGCCTTCCCATCTGTTTCCATGAGGTCCCAAAAGACAGTACCAAAGCACTTATAACATGTTCCCCAAACGCACTGGTACCCACACCAGAACCCCAGCCGTGCCCCAGCACCTTCCCCACGCTGCCTGCCCCACGTGGAGATTTCTCACCAGGGCAGATCTGGCTCCCTTTCAGCCCGTGCCCTTGTGACTATGGGGAATAAGGCCCTCAAAGCGTTGTCCGTGAAGGTCCAGTTATGGTTCATGCCTCATCAGCTTGACCACCAACCAAGCACCCCTCTGCAGAGCCCACTGCCTTTGAATACTGCACCTCTAGCACCAGCGCACCCAAGAGCACAAGCTGAGAAGCATCTTTATCATGATAAACAGCATTAGAGACAGATGTATTTAGGTATAACAAATGCAGCACTTGGTCGGTGGAGTGCAAACATGCCAGGATGAGCCCACCCAGACCTCAAGGTCCTCAGATGAGCCTTTGCGGCAGGCAAAACACCCCTGTCTCCTTCCCACCCCTACAGCTGTGCAGCAGCGCACCTGAGATAACGAAACCGAAGCTCATCCAGTCCTATTTCTTCGTGCTGCAATTCCTCATAAGCTCTGTGAAACTGGTGAGTTGAGCGGAACATCAGCTAAAGGTCCAGCCCCATCACAGTGGGTTCCCACAACGTCATTTCATTTTACAGAGTTACTTTTCAGATCAAGCTTGCCCTTCAGCTAAACTCCTGCCAGAAAGAGAAACCACCATTTATGCTGAAAAGATCTGGTACAGACATGGGTTTTAGGAAACCTGACCATGCATATTTGTTAATTTCCTTCGTGAAACTTCATTTCCCTGCTCTTAAACTTTGTATAGTTGAGTGGACTGATTAATTTCTTCTTTCCCGCATGCACACTCTTTTATTTTTCGGGTTTTTTGGTTTAGTGTTTTTTTGGAGAGGTGTTGAGCCAGTAAATACTCGACTAGCGGCACCTGCTGCTAAGGTTTCAGATCCAGGTGTTCCTTTTTAGGACCCAAACACAGCTGATACATCTCAACTTCAGGTACTGCTGGGTTTTCTTAGTAAAATGATAGAAAACTATCCAAATAAGGCTAGGTTTTACAACATGGTGAGAGTCCTTTTTCAAGATTAGAGAAGGAAGAGAAGCAAATCTTTTTCCCCCTTAGCATTTTGTTCTTACAAATACTATACCAAATCACACTTTTATACTGCTACCACGTAGTGTCTTTTTTTTCCAGCCTGCTTAAATTGCAACCAGCGTTGATGGCTACGGGCAGAAGATTTAAGCTGGAAGACCTAGATGAGAAATGCTCACCAGGGTCTCTGACCATAACTTGTAATCCTTAACAGAATACTTAATTTATGGTCTAGTTAGAGACGCAGGTCTGCAGAAACACTTGCATCGCTCTATGTACATTGATAATCAACAGGTTTACTACCCACTTCAGCAAACCAGTTAGACCAATACTGAGCACTTTTGAAAATTCCCTCTTTGGACTGTTGTCCCCCAGATATGATAAGTATGTGAGACATGAACTATTAATAGTACTGAGCTTTTTTACAGATTTTTCACATTTTAGTGAATAAACCTCTTGATAAAAATCTGTGCTGAAATATGAAACATATATGTGGTACAGCATCAAATGCTAGAGGGGCGACTTCTGAAAATGACTTAAGATGTGTTAGTGATGTTGAGGTTTTGGCTTCGTAACGGGTAGAGATTATCTGAAAGCTTTTCTGTTCCTGAACTGTGCTTCCTGTTGGCATCTGTGTGAATATGATGTGTGGCCATTCTTTAAAATATTACTTAATACTGTTTTCTGAAGACATATTTGTCTTTTGGTGGTTTGTCTTTTAACATCCATCAATTGTCTCTGCTGCACAGCCTGCTCGTGTTCCATGAAGGATGGATTCTCACCCGAGAAGATAATTTACAAGATGATGATTTGGTTTTGAAGAGGGGAAGGGCAGTTTATTCAGAAATGTCTATTTCTTTCTTATTCACCTTTGCTGAAATCTGGCAGCTCTTCAAAGCTGTTGCTCTCTTTCACAGTGAGTCTCAATTTCATTCATCAAATCTCAGTTTTCCTTCCATCATAGTGGCAGGGAAATTGGAATTTATCAGGAAATGCAATGCACACCCAGTATTCTCTACATTTCCAGTATGTCTCCATTGCTACTGAATGATAATAGCTGCTCCTAACAATGTTACGTCTGCAAATATAGGCTGCAGTAATCAGTTCACACTGCTGTGCAACTTTTATATTGTACGACAAAGTCCTACAATTTGTAATCCAGTTGCTGGGGAAAGAGGGAAAAGGTAGGCTAACTTGATAACCTTTTTTTTTTACTGTTTTCCCCTTGATGCTACAAACTTCCAAATTTCAAAATCCAGTGTTTGACCTGTGGCTTTCATCATTAAGAGGTGAAAAACCACCATAATGCCTCTGCACAGCCTGGAGAACAACCAAGCCATCACTGGACAGATTCCTCAGCACCGCCACCGTTTAGGTACCTTTAATTACATGCAACATGAATAGTCACAGGCTGTCAGACTAGGGAGAGTCAGTAGACAGCAAACTGACTAAGATTCAGGAGACGTCAATTCTCTTCCCAGCGCTACAATTGTCCTTTTTCTTCCCTTTGTGCCTTAGTTTTCCCCCCTTGGTTGCAAATGGGGACGATTCTGTCTGACCTCTGCTTGTAAGTCCCTGCAAGACCTTCAAATAAAAGCACTAAGTGTTGGGCACTGCTATTGTCTGGGGCTAAATACTAGGTTAATGCCAATAGTAATCTCAAATATCTGGAATCCCAGGGCTCAATCTTGCCTTAAAGACAGTGGCAAAATTCCTACTGGTTTCAGTGGTACACGCTCACATGTTTAAGTGATGAAGAGACAGGGATGCTGACTATTCCGGTCAGAAGATTCGGAACAAAGAGAGATTTTTTAATTATATAAGTTAGGAAGACAATGAGGTGAGGGTGTTCCCCCACATAAAAGAGAAATGGCTGCGTCACAGATGGTCCACTTCAGGAGCTTATAATTTCATCACTGCAGAGATATTGACGTCAAGTAAAATGGAGGATAATATAAAGTTACGCATATTGCCTTAAGAAGTGCATATTTTAGCAGTGAAACTGGATAATGTTTTGCAATTAAAATAAAATAAAGGCAAGCGTGACGTTCTGTTTAAGCAGATTGTCTGTATGAAGGCTTTATTGTAGCTGCAGATTTAGGGCATATGAAAAGGTTTTCTGTGCTAGTTGCAGGATGAAAAACATTGCATCATCAGGCATTCTTGTTCTCTAACACTTCTTTGCCAGTATGCCTTTGATAATTAATGCTTGCAATTTTATTTTCTGGTGTAAAGTCATGTTTTCTCAGGTCATTATCATTCCAATTTTTAAATATCCTCTTAAAACTAGACAGAACTACGGAAAGTAATAGTAAAGCTTTGTGCCTGCTCTGTGGCATGTGCTCGGCACAAGCGATCAGCTGCTGCACCTGCTTCGCACTGGGAGTAAAGCTATTTGCAAGTTGCTTTCAATTACATCCCTTGTTCCCAGTTCTGCCCACTTTCCAGAGAAGCTCTGATGGACA